AGTGGGCCTATATTGCTATTAATTTCCCTCTTATGACCACTTTTCCTGCACCCCATAAAAGTTAGTTTGTTGTATTTTCATTTTCTTTTGTCTTCAGGTTTTTTTAAATTTCCTCTTTGATTTCTTCAGTGATCCAATGGTTGTTCAATAGCATGTTGTTTAGTCTCCACATATTTCTTACTTTCTCAGTTTTTTCTTGTGGTTGATTTCTCGCTTCATAGCATTATGGTTGGAAAAGATGGTTGGGATGATTTCATCCTTCTTAAATTTATTGAGGCTTGCCTTGTTTCCCAACACATGGTCTATCTTTGAGAATGATACTTGTATACTTAAGAAGAATGTATATTCTGCTGTTTTTGGATGGAATGTTCTAAATAAATCTAAGTCCATCTAATCAAGTGTTTCATTTAAGTCTTCTATTTCCTTGTTGACTTTTTGTCTGGATGATCTGTCCATTGATGTAAGTGGGGTATTGAGATCCCCTACTATTATTGTGTTACTGTTAATTTCTCCCTTTAGGTCTGTTAATAATTGCTTTATGTACATTGGTGCCCCTGTTTTAGGTGAATATATATTAATAAGTGGTATGTCCTCTTGATGGAATGTCCCTTTTATCATTATATACTGCCCCTCTTTGTCTCTCATTGTCTTTGTCAACTTGAAGCCTCTTTGTCTGATAAAAGTATAGGAACACCTACTTTCTTTTGTTTTCTATTAGCTTGGAATATCGTCTTCCATCCCTTCAGTCTAAGCCTGTGTTTGTCTTTAGAACTGAGATGCGTTTCCTGGAAGCAGCATATTGTTGGGTGTGGTTTTTAACCCATCCAGCTACTCTGTTTATTTTGACTGGAGAATTCAATCCATTTACATTTAAAGTTATTATTGATATATGGAGTCTTAATACTGCCATTTTATGTCTTGTTTGCTGGTTGTTCTATATTTCCATTGTTTCTCTTCCTTTGTATTTCTGACTGCCATTTCATTTCTGAGGGGGATTTCTCAGTTTTATCTCTTTTTGTAAATTGTGGCTCTGCTCTGATGTTTTGTTTATTGATTACTGTGAGGATTGTGTGAAAGATATTGGAGATGAGAGAGTCCATTTTCTCGTTACATCTTATCTCCATTAACCTAAGCTGATTCCTTCCCTTTCCTCTCCCCTTCTAAGTAATTGCTGTTACAAATTGTTCTGTTTTTAATTTTGTGAGTTTGTGACTAAGTTGAGATGTTTATCATTACTTTTGATGCTTCCTTCACCTTTCTCTTTTGTAATTGAGTCTTTGCCTCCCTATTCTTGTAGAGAGCTGCAGGTTTCTTATTATGTCTGTCTATTTGTCTCCTTGCTCAGAGCTTTGTAGACCTATGCCTTTTTATTGCTGTTGAGAAGGTATCTTTAATTATTTCTTATAGGGGAGGTGTAGTGGTGATGAACTCCCTCAGCTTTTATTTATCTGGGAAAGATTTTATTTCTCTATTGTATTTGAAGGAAAATTTCACTAGGTAGAGCATTCCTTGCTGAAAGTTTTTGTCTTTCAGTATTTTGATTATATCATTCCATTCTCTCCTATCCTGTAGGGTTTTTGCCAAAAAATCCACTGAAAACCTGATAGGGTTTCCTTTTTAGGTAATATTTTTTCTTTATCATTGACTTTTGCCATTTTTACTATTATATGCCTTGGAGAAACTCTTTTAGCATTGATGAAATTAGGCATTCTATGACCTTCATTTTTTGTAAATCTGGAACTCATCCCTAGGTTTGGGAAGTTCTCAGCAATTACTTCTTTGAGCAAGTCCTCTGCTCCTTTCTCCTGCTCTTCTCCCTCTTGAATACCTATAATCCTTTTGTTGCTTTTCCTAATTGAGTCACATATTTCTTGAAGAATCCCTTCATTTTTTAAAAATCTTGGTTCTGGCTCCTTGTCCACCTGTAGAATTTCTACAGTTTATCCTCTAGAACACTAATTCTTTCCTCTATAACATCAGTTCTATTTCTTAAGGATTCTAGATTATTTTTTATTTCATTAATTGTGTTTTTCATATCCAGAATTTCTGTTTGATTTTTTTTTGTAGTTTCAGTCTCTTTGGTGAAGATATTCATTTTATTGCTGAGCTCCTTGAATTTTCTTTCCGTGTTTTCTTGTAATCATTGAGTTTCCTTATGACAGTTATTTTGAATTCTCTGTCATTTAAGTTGTAAATTTCTGTGTATTCAGGGTTGGTTTCTGGAGAATTGTTATTTTTCTTCTGGTCTGAATTTTGTTGCCATTTCTCATGGTGTTTGACTAACTAATCTTTTGTTGGGGCATTTGTGGTATTCTTAGGTCTCAGGTTCCACCTGTTGCCACTAGGGGGAGTCAGGAGCAGAGTTTCTGGCCCCACCCCATCTGCTGGAAGCTGTGGGAGTATTATGGGTGCTTGTCCCAGCCTGGGGTACATTCAGGAGCTTGTGTGGACTGTGCTTGGTGGGTGGGGCTTCCTTGCTGGACTGAGCTAGGGCCACTCCTTGGTGGCAGAAGGGTACAGTGGGCTCCCCCTCCCCACTGGGAGAGCAATCATGAGTGTGGGCTAAGGGTTACCACTGCCTCCTCCTGTGATTGCCCTGGTGCATGTTCCCACTTTCAGAGCATTTGCGCCAGTCTGGAAAGCATTCCTGTGTGTGCACAGGGCTACCAGGGGAGCGCAGGGTATGCTCACCTATCTCTGCCATTTCCTGGGGTTCCAGTCCATCCATCCTCAGATGTATAGCTGCGTGTGTCTCTCAGGCATCCTTTTGTGCTGTGTGAACTTCCTCCATTGATCAGCAAATGTCCATTTAGTTATAGTTCAAAAGGGGGAGAGACAAAGGGAACAGCTCATTCCACCATGTTGCTGATGTCACCTGAACGCTCCCTTTTAAATAGAGATGGAAAAGTCCCTAAGATGTTTATAATTGAAAGATGCAATAACATATTATTTTTTCCTGACTCGCTCATAGTTTTTATTATGGATGGATAAAACTGGAAGAAAACTAATAACACACTCATCTGGTACTTATAGACTTGGTGCTATAAATGTTTTGTGTATTTTACGTCCCTTAATCCTAACAATAACCCTACGAGGTCAACATTATCACCTGGAAATAAATTGATTTGTCTAATATTTCACAGCCTGTTAACGGTGGTTCAAGAATTCTAGCCTGGGCCTGCTTGTGTCAAAGTCCAATTAGGAAATAGAAACTACACAGCAATTTGAGCAGGAAAAGTTTAATATAAAGAATTGTTAACTATGATGGGGATTGGAGTAACTATGATTGGCTACTAAAAAGAACTCTAAAGAATTGAGAAAAACAGCTATAGGGAGTGGTCTCTACCCCTAGGTCTAAGGCAGAGCACCTGAGGGAAGACTGCATTTTAAAGAGGATCTCCTACCTGCACCCCCACCCCTCTGTGGTATAGAGCTTCTTGGAGAGGGCATAGCTCTGGCAGAGAAGTTCATTGAGGTACAATGCCAGTGGAACTTACAGGGAAACTACTTTCTAGGGTTCTGGGGAAACTGTCTATAGCGAGCTGTCATACTGTTGAATCCACTGAGAACTCATTCATGGGAAGTACTGCACCACAGACCTTGCTAGGAGGCTCCCACTGTGTGTGTATGTTCTGGGAGACACAGCCCAGAAGGTGCCCTGCACTGCTGGCCATGGTGCCCCAAAGGAGCCAACCCAGAGAAGCAGCCAGAAGCAGGAAAACCCTCTCATCCTCTAGTTTCTTCTGTTGCTTTCTATGGAAGATGCTTAAAATTGTGCCATATGGCAAGGGAGAAATGTAGTCTCACAAGCAGGACAGTGAAGGGTGACTTTGGAGAGGCAATAGATTGATACTTGGCAAACTGCCCGCCAACAAATCTGCTTTCTTAGTCATTATGTCATACTGCCTTATACTTACTATGCCACAAAATATGATATTTAACAAAATAAAGGAAAATAGGAAGAAAGGAAGGAGGGAAAGAATGAAATTAGGAAGGAAAGAAAGAAAATGTAACAGGATTATAAATGGAGACACATCAGTATCTCTCTTTTCTTTGAATTATTTCTAGGTAAAATCACTGAATTAATTACTCAAGAGACTGCCTTACTGAATTTTAGGACACTTGCTTATCAACCAAAAACTGAAATTACAAACTGGAGGCCCAAGGGCCATAACCAAAGATTTTTCACTCTATGATTCAAATTATTTTTTAATTCCAGTTTTCTCATCTACTGGTTAATGAAGGTCATATTTGGTTCACAAGCATTTGTTTGCAAATGAGACCTTCCTTAGATAACCCAAATCCTAATTACATCATTTACAGACTGCAAGATTTAGGCAAGTTATTTAATTTCTCTGGGTCTCAAATTCTTCATGTAAAATGAAAATAATAATAGTATTTCTTATATATATATAAGGTATATATATATAAGATATATATATCTTATAGATGTGTTATGAAAATTAAGTGTATTGTTTTAAAGCACTTGGAACAATTCCTTACATATAGTAAGTGATATATAAATATTTGTATATACATTAGGATGGTTTCTTAAAGACCATAGCCTTAAAATATTCTTTCAGTAGTTCCTGTTTATTGAGCTCTACAGTTACTCAACATTTTTGTAGATTAATGATTTCATTGTTTAATGACAATTTAAAAATATGGTTCTGTTATAGTATGTAAAATATGAGTGCTGTCTATTGGTTATCTTACTTTTTTTCTATAGTTGTTAATGATACAGCTTTAAACTTAGAGTGTTTGAAGATTATATTAATAAAGCCCTTACTCCTTAACTTTTGCTAGTAATTATCTGAACAGTAAGATATTTGGTGAAGTATCTTTGGCTAAAGAAAACCCATGTTGTCAGTGTAACCATTAGCATTCAAATTATTAAATAGTTTTCAATTTGCATCCCTTAGAAGAAACGCATTAGACATTTTGTAAGAATATCAAAAATGAAAAAAATTTTAATACTATTTTTAATATTATTTTTACAGAAGACCATGAAAAATATTCTGAAGTCATCAAGAAATTCCAGGCAGTTGAAATGTTATTTACGCTTTATCCTCCTCAAGGTGCCCACGTGCATAGTAATAAACGACTTAAGTCAACTTGGCTGAGACCCATAGTAAATGGGGAAGAAGGATATAAATATATAGGTAAGATGCTGAACTTTATTATTTCCTTTTATAATAAAAAAGAAATGACCCTTGACTTTATATAGCTTATTCTTCACTTAGATGATGTGCGGTGATACATAGGCCCTATAGAATATGCCCTTTAGTTCTTAACTATTATGCTTGCAATTTAAAAAGTGGTTATTTACACTTTGGTGCCTCCACGAGAATAGTGGAAACATGCTGTGTTTATCCATTCACCCAGTGATGGATATTTGGGTTGTTTTCAAAAAAGGGATACTACAAGGAAAGCTGCTATGAACATTCCTGTAAAGACTGTGTATAGACATATGCTTGCATTTCTCTTAACTAAACTGTTTTCCAAAGTGGTTATACCATTTCATATTCCCCGCCAGCAGAGATATGAGAGTTGAATTTGCTCCACAGCTATATAATACTTGGTATAATCTATCTTTCTGATTTTAGCCATTTGAATAGATATGTATTGGTATTCCATTGTGGTTTTAATTTGAATTTCTCTTGTAGATAATGATAAACGTGTCTTTTTATGTATTTTTCATTTGTATATTTTCTTTGGTGAAGTTTCTTTTCTAATCTTTTGGCCATTTATATTGATTTTTTTTAAATTAAGTTTTGAGAGTCCTTTAGATATTCTGGATATAAATCCTTTAACATATATATGCTTTGCAAATATTTTCTCCAAGTCTGTGACTTCTCCTTTCTTTTAATAATATCCTTTGAAGAACAGAAGTTTTAAATTTTGATTAAGTCCAATTTACGACTGCATTGTTTTTATGATTCATGCTTTTACTGTCATGTCCAAGAAATATTGGTCAGACCTCCAGTCACAAGGTTTTCCTTTAGAAATTTTATAGTTGTAAGTTTTATATTTTAGTGTGTAACTATCTTGAGTTGCTTTGTACAAGGATCAGGGTATAGGTTGAAGTTCTTTTTTTTTTTGACATATTGATATCCAAATATTTTAGCACTATTTGTTGAAAAGTATATTCTTCTATGAATTAGCTTTGTATTTTGGCAAAAACAAATAGACGAATAAAATAAACAGATAGCAAATAAGCACATGAAAAGATAATCAACATCATCGTCCTTAGGGAAATACGAATTAAAGCCACAATGAGATACCACTACTCACCTATTAGAATAACTAAAATAAAATTTAAAAATCTGACAATACCAAGTCTGGCAAGGATGTGGAGCAACTGGAAAACACATACATTGCTGGTGGAAATGCAAAATGCTACAACCAATTTCTAAGTATTTTGTTACTATCTTGTAAAATTAAATGTACTCTAATCATAAAATGCAGCCACCCTACTCCTAAGTAACTATCTAAGAGAAATGAAAGTGTTTGTTTACAGAAAAACCTATATATGAACGTACATAGCAGCTTTAGTCATAATTGCCAAAAGCTGGAAACAACACGAATATTCTCCAACTGGTGAATGAATAAACAAAATTTGTTATATCTATGCAGTGAAATACTACTCAGCAATAAAAAGGAATGAACTACAGATACACACAATGTGGATGAATTTCAGATGCATCATGTTAAGTGAAAGAAGCCAAACTCAAAAGCTATATATAGATTCCATTTAAATCACACTGGGAAAAGCAAAACTATAAGGACTGAGATCAGTCTTGTGATTGCCAGGGCCTAAGGTCTGGGAGAGGGTTTGACTACAAAGAGGAAGCATGAGGAACTTCTTAGGGTGATGGAACTGTTCTGTATCTTGATCATGGTAGTGGTTTGTATGACTCTAAAAATTAGTCAAAATGAACTGTACACCAAAAAGAGTAATTTTACTATAAATAAAATTTAAAAAGTAAACATAAAATAAAAAGAGAAGAATTTATACAAATGCAGACAAATCCAAATGCAGACAAATCCAAATGCGCCATGATTAGTCATTAGGGAAATGTAAATTAAATCACAGTGGGATACCACTACACACCTTCTATAATGGCTAAAATCAAAAAGGCTGCAGCCAGCCCAGTAGCGCAGCAGTTAAGTGTGCATGTCCTGCTTTGGCGGCCTGGGGTTTGCCGGTTCAAATCCCGAGTGTGGACATGGTACCGCTTGTGCAAGCCATGCTATGGCAGGCGTCCCATATAAAGTAGAGGAAGATGGGCACGGATGTTAACTCAGGGCCAGTCTTCCTCAGCAAAAAGAGGAGGGTTGGCAGATGTTAGCTCAGGGCTAGTCTTCTTCAAAACAAAAAACACAAAAAGGCTGACCACATCAAGTGTTGAACATTAATATTCTGCCAGTGAAAATGTAAAATGTAAAAACACTTTGCAAAATAGTGTGACACTTTTTTAAAATGTTATACGTACACCTACTATACGACTCATCTATACCACTTCTAGATGTTTACAGAAAAGAAAGTATATGTCCATACAAAGACTCGTACATGAATGTTCTTAGATTCCTTTTTTTGTAAAAGACACAAACTAGAAAGAGCTCAGATGCCCATCTACAAGTGAAAGGGTAAACAAATTGTGTTATATCCATGCAGAATACTATTCAGCCGTATAAAAGAACAAACTATTGACAGTATTGATACACGTACCAACATGGCTGAATCTCAAAAGAATTATGATGAGTGAAAGAAGCCAGATAAAAAAAGTACAAGACTGTGATTTGTGTATATAAAAGTCTAGAAAATGCAAACGAAACCAAATGACAGAAGCAGATCTGTGATTATCTGGAATGTGAGTGGGGAGTGGAAATGAGGCACAGTAGATTTTTGTGGAAATGGAATTTTGGGGGTGATGGAAATATTTATCATCTTGATTGTGGTAATAGGTCCATGCACGTACACATATGTCAAAATTCGTCAAATTGTATACTTTAAATATGTGCAGCTTTTCATTCCTATGTCAATAAAGCTATAAAAATAAAGTTGAAAAAGAAATTTAAAGAAGAGAGTGAAATTTGTATTTTGGTAATACTTTTGAAAGATTTCTTAAGTTTAAAAGTAGGATATTAGGACTTCTCTACAGAAAGTCACAGATTTAATGCAGTTTCATTGGGCTATTGCATATAAAGGTATCTTTAAGTGCTCAGTTCTGATAGATAACCTAGAGGAAGAAAGGAAGGGAAAGAAAATTATGAAAAAGAAAGTTGAAGACTTTAGGTTCTATAAAATGCATCAAGATCTTGGTTGTGATTTATTTTCCCTTTGCAATTTTCCACTTGAAAATTACTGGAATGTGACCTATATCATTCTAAAAGATTTGTGTTTATTGTCTAGAACCCATTTGTGAATATTTGATTCCAATAAAATGAATAGAAAGGGAATATGCAAGTGGCATTATGTTGTAAGTTGAAGGCTCCATCTTCCAAAGTTTTATGCTTATCTCTTCCCTTTTTGGTGAGTGACCAGGGCCTTGCATCTTTTTGAATTACAGTTGTTATTAAATTGATTGACAAGAGAGTTTGCAACATTTGCCTTGAAAGAGATTAGTCTATTACAGAAGTGCTTTCTGAAATTCAGTAACTCCTCGACTAGGAACATTTTAGGGAAGATAGCTCTGGGAATTTATTGTGTGTTCCAACCTTAATACTCCACAATGTAGGCACTCCTGTTTATTGATTTCGCTCCCTAGATTTACAGACATATCATCAGCAAGAACTGAGGAGTAGTTAATAGAGTTACTGAATGCTCTGTAAATGGCATGAGTTGCTAACAGATTGTGTGGTATTAGGAACATACATACTCTAAAAATATTCAGTATATCCTTGTTTTTATACCCCATAATCTGTAGCACTGTGGCTTGAATGCCAGTGGAATGCTGCATAAGTCATAATGTCGAATTGTTTAATATGCACAAAGTATTTCTTCTGAATCATAATTTTATAATCTTAGAACATCAATGAGATAAAAAGAAAAATCTTTAGTTTTTTTTCCAAGAACATATGTCTTGTCAAAATTATTTTCAGAAAGGCTGTTTTGGAAGGCTAGTCTTTTAACATGTCTTCAGTTACCTTTACTTTTGAGTTGTCTGTCCTTGAGCTCCCCTGATCTGCTGACCTGTCACAAATACACTGAACTTGATCCTCTCCTTCATTAAGTTTTTGTGACTTTGGTGGATTTTCAACCTGGAAGCTGTAGATTATACTAAGGAACTCCTGGAATTCTAATGGGAATACATTGAAAGGGGTAGGTTAGCCATTATCTTTCTAAGAAATCGTTTAGGGAATACAAATTAAATTACTCTCTCCAACCGATGGTCCATTCTTAACTGAAATCATATTGTTGTATTAATGGAAGGTTTCTAATTAGTTTAGAGCCCAGGTAATGAGCAAAGACCTCTAGTTATACTACTTCTTTTTCATATATTATTTCCAGCCCTCCATGTCATAAATTTTACTTACCCTTATAACATATGGTTATTTATGTTACGTAATTAATACTGGAACCTCATTTCCTGGCCTAATCACTGTTTTGCTATCCATTATCAAAGTACAAGATATCTTTTTATGTCATTCAGTTTATTCCACTGCCTTCAGGCAAGACCCGATGTACATTAGCCAGATGAGAATCCCATCTTTAAAGACTGACAATTACACTATCGTCCTTGACAGTCAAGTCTGATTTTTAATGATCTTCTCTCTCAGAATTTTCTACTTTGCAACATAAGACTTTCTTTTTTATATACCCCTTATTGCTGTTGCAATTTGTTCACTATCCACAAAATAAAAGCTATGCATAGATTAATAAGAATCTTTCTTTTTTCTAAAATAGGCCGTTTAAAATATTATTCCTCAGAAACCCTCTTTCTAATTCTTAAAGTCTTTTGGCACTTCTTCCTAAACATTTTCCAGATTTTCTCATTTATTTTAAGTGATGGAATTCAGAATAAAATATGATAATCCAATATGTCTGATTTATTGTGAATATAATCCTAGCTACTACATGTTCTGCTTATATCTTCGCACTTTTCTTTTGAGGAAAATTAGCCCTGAGCTAACATTTGCCACCAATCCTCCTCTTTTT